TAATTATTTTTATTGAGACATAACATACTGATAAGTGTAAATATAAATAACACAAGTTAATGTTTCAACTTTAAGAAGAAACCTTCAATACGTAATTAAATTTATTAGGCCAGGAAATACAGAGTTGGACGCGACTTTTTGTTTCGGCAAGTTGACTTTATCACTATAGATGCTAAATATTCTGTATAATAATATATTAGTTTCCACAGTAATAAAAATGGGAGGAAGATTGTTTACAGGCTGGTTAATTGTATAATTTTTACGTAAATTCACGTTTTTCGTTTATAACTTTTTTCCGTTCATTTCCACGAGAAAACAGTAAAGTACTTTTTTTCGTCTTCAAAAGACCTACAAAACTAGCCCTCGAGCGTAAAAAAATATGGATTAAATCAAAAGTTATAAACAGAAGAAGTTTATTTATTACTTTTGAATTAAACATTTATAAACTGCGTTATTATTACCAGAACGATTTGGCATCGCATCCTCTCATTCCTTATCACTGTCGAATAACTAACACGAAATCTGGAATCGGTAAGTTGAATAGTTTACAAGTTATGGCCTTATAAACAAATTAACTAATTACTAGTCTGGACGATCCCGAGCATATTCCACAATCACACTGATTTTTTTTCATGACAGATTTCATAATAATACATTGAAATATACATATTTTTTTAAATTTCAAATTTGCAACCTGGAAAGTTTATTTATTTTTTAGCCTTAATTGCAAAATCTTCGGAAAGCTTATGAAAAGAGTTTTAAGTTAAAATAAGTCCGAAGAAAATGACGATAATATTCACAGTCCTGCAGTTAAAAAAGCGAAATTCACTTGAAAATAATATATTTAACTTAAAGCTCTTTTCATAAGCTTTCCGAATATGTAATAATATATAACTACTAGGTTGACCCGGCAAACGTTGTTTTGCCATATAAATTAATCCTAGGATTATTTTAGTAGTTTTTTCATAAAGAAATTTCACTTCTACCATCTATATTATATTTAGTGTTATTCAGTGTATATCGTGTATATTTTTTTTATTAATAGTAATAGTAAATGTCATTATTACGGTTGATGCACAAACAATAATAATAATGGCCGAAAACTGTAGGGAGTGAGAAACGGCTCATTGTGTGAGAGAGATCTCATCCCTACTCCGTGCTGTTTACTGGGTCAGAAGTGACACCGGTCGACGCCTGGCGGGGATAAAAAAAATGATCAAGTGATAATTGATCAGTTATCGACCGGGGTTGAAAATTATTGAATTACTAATATCGCTATTAAAAAATAAGGGTTGATGGTAGAAGGGTGAAAATTTAGGATTGTATGTATTTTTTAAGGCCACATCATAAAAAAATAAAAAAATAAAATTTTGTCCAAAAAACAACAAAA